GATTCTGTGTGTGTGATTCTGTGTGTGTTAAAAAGTATCAGAGTGTAAGTTGTGTTATCCCAAAATACTTGTAGTGCAACTATTCAGAAAAACTTTCAAGGTCAACTGGGATGCAATTTAATACGCTGTTATGTGGAGGTTTAACACTGATACTGCTTCTAACTCTTCAGTGAACCACTTCAGTCCTCATCTAGGGAACATTAGACTACCCTGCTAACAACATCATGTCATCATTATTTTTACTAAAGTAACATGAAATTTTCTACTGTTTCAACAATGGAAAAATATTCAAGTAATTTATTTTACAAGTTACTTCTTATAAGAACTTCTAGACTTCATGGATTATTTATTAGGTGGTCATTTGTTTCTTTCCGTCTCTTTCAATAACCTAGCTCCAAGTCTGAAAATAAATTGAAAAAAAATATTAAGCCATATCAGACATAACTTGAACGAATTGCCATGTCTTCTGAAGTGAGAAATATTTGTACGATTTCCATAAATGCACATGTTATCATTATGGTTTAAGACAAGATTCAACATTTGTTCAGTTTCAGGAGGACGTGTGCCTTATCCTAAAGTTTTGTTTGCAATCATTCCTATCATTTTCAGTACTGCACTTCCGTTACGAGTTGAGAAGATAAATGACTTTCAAGCAACAACAAAAAACAATAAGGCAGCAAAAGATCAACCAGTTTTCAAATAAAAACATCTCTGAAGTCAGAGAATTTCAGAACTAACATACTGTTCAACCATATCTCCTCTGTGTTTACACATTATAATAGTCTTCAACTATATACAGCTGCAATGCCAAGTATGTATTTAGCAAAGTCCCCGCTTCAGTTTAGCAAAATTTTTCAACCTGCAAAGTAATGAGGAGTCTAGATTTGGGGATTTTTTTGTTTTTCAAATGTTATCCTGAATGAAGGCAAATAATCGGTGTTTCTCCTTGGTCTCCTTATTTAGGAGAAACTCTATACCTCATTATAGAAAGGTCATCAGAACACTATCCCTACTCACAGTTGGCTCACTGAACAGTCTTTATGTCTTGTCTTTTTTTTGTAAGTCATAGACAAAGATACACAAAAACTTGATAAAAAACCATTAATACACAAGTATGGAAGAAGTTTTGGAAGGTTCCTCAACAGCATAAAGCAAAAGTCCAAATTACTTGCAACAAAATGTGAGTACTACAATTCCCTGGGTTTTGGGAATCCCCTTGTAGAAGACTGCAAGAAAAAACAGATACACGCAACCTATTTCATGATATCTCATTGTTGTGGTAAACAACAGCAAGACTTCATATGGGAAATGTACGAATATGTCTGTTGCTTAAGAAATACCGCTGCCAAAACCAAAACTCTTTCCATTGCCTTTGGAGGATAAAGTAACTATTAAAGTTATGAAATAAACTTCTAATAATAATGGGCAAGAAATGAAGAAAATTTCCATTCTGTATTGTCAGTCAACAGGTTTGCACTGTGCTAAGAGTGCAAGACTAAGAGGTTTGTTAAAAAAAATAAAAAAAGCAAAAGATATACAAAAGATATATCCTCTTCAGGCCTAGGCATTCTAAAGAATAGAAGTAAATAAGAAATTATTTCATTGACTTCAGCTCTTGAAACCACTGAAGGAAGGAAACTTTTTCAGAGTGCTTGACATGAAACTATGGTATCAGTATCTGTAGGTGGCTCCAAAGATGGAAACAGAGCACTGACATAACATATCCTACAGTGCTTTCCTCCAGAAATACAGAACATAATGTGAGTGTCTTTCCTGGGACAGGCTTTATCTACACCACTGATGAACTTTCCTTAAGACAAAGCAAGATAATGAAAATCTGGGCTATTTGTGCTCTACTTGAAATAAGCAATCTTCAGTGCCCACTATTATTCTGAGTTATTTCAAATCTGAGAAATTCATTATCATGGCAGCACAACTTGTCACAAGGGGAAGAGTTCTACATTTCTTCACTGGGAACTCAAGCTCTTCTCAGACAACAGCAGAGCCCCTTGTTTTAATCACAGCCTGAATTGAAAACTGTTTATTCTTCAGTCCAACCCAGTAAAGACTTTCACTTTGCTATTGGTCTGTCAACACTTCTTTTATACGACAGACAAGCGAGATGCAGTATGATGATAGAAGTTTTGCTTATATTCTTCTGTATTAAGGCCTCCTTGTTAAGTAGGTCAGTTGTTGGCTTTGGCTTTTTTTTTTTACAAAGTGAGAAAAAAAAGTTTAAAAATCTTTAAATATTTTAAACTTTAATCTACGATTAACACAAATACCAAATGTTCTTGGTTTAAGGCTTTGACCCATTTTGGAGACAGTTTTAGCTGAGATGGCAGATGTAGCCACCTTCAAACACCTACTCTGTCTCTCAGCAAGACACATCTCCTTTTGCAACAAGTAAGAATGACTAGACAATGTATGTGCCACTGTAGCTTGCACTCTGATATATTTAATATTTGCTTAAACAGTGGTGGTTCAGGAACAGCTAAGTCTGCTAGAAATCACAAGCCAAACCCAAAGCCCTCAAATTTCCTGAGCTCCCATCCTCTTGAAAAAATTGTTTAAGCATATGTTTTTAGAAGGACCTTTACCAAAGCCTACAATTCTGCATACTGTGAATTACTGCATTTGGCTATCCTGCAAATGCCTGGTTCATTAGAATACACATTATGAACAGGTTTTTAACTTTTTTCCCTATTATTTTTAACATTTAATGTTGGTAAAAGATTTTACAAAGCTCAATGCTTTGTGAAACTGCGGAAGCTTTGACAGATAACTGTAAAAGAACAAACTAAACAGTCTAATAATTCATCTAACAGAAAGAGTTTTATACTGGATTAAAAAAAGAAAACTCTGTGGTTTGTTTTTTAAATTATACCAACATAAACATTCCCCAAATCAAAACACCTTCTTCTAAGCAATAAGGATTTTAGATCATGAGTATTTTCTAAAATCTCAATTTCTAACATTCACATGGTTGAATGGCAGTCTAGGGCTCTGTAAATATTAAAGACAGAAAATTCCACTACAAATAAGTCTTTACACAGTCAGTTAGGAACAGTACAGAATGCTAGGAATAAGTTGGGGAAAATGGCCAAAGCATTCCTCTGGACTGCTGGTTCTATGATAGATGCAGGAGACATTAACCTGGAATGGCACAGTAGAGACACATCTCAGTTTCAAGCTCTAAACCGAATACCTACAAAAGCTGTGTATGCCATCAAATTGTCCTTGCTTCCATTTCTCCTTTCTTAAAATGGAGGCAACACTATCCCACTTAACATAGAAAGAAATCTCTTGTCAGACCTCAAATCATCACTGGATTTTCTACAGCATATTTGGATTTGCATTTAAGGGCATTTAAAGACAGGGTTTGAATTTGGCTCTGAATTTTCTAATTCCCTGGGGTTAGAGATGAATCTTAACACTAATTTAACATAGCGAGTTGCATATTGGAGCAAGGTGCCATATGTCTGTTTTTCTCAGTCAAATATGAGAACTGAGGAAGTTCTTTTTCCTCTCTGACTTAGTACTTACTGTTATGGATTAGCAGATGTCTTTGTAGAGAGAATGGGGTGCGGAACAAAGCTTTGCATTCCTCACACTGGAATGGTCTCTCTTCAGAATGGGTCTACAGATGAAAGACAATACGTCAGAGGAAAGGCCGAGGGAAATCAATTAGCAGTCATTACAGTAATTACAGCTATTTTTCTAGACTGGATGCAGGAGAAGATATCATAGCAATTTGAAACATTGGGGACAAAGAATTAAAACAATTCATTAATGTCATTATCCAGAATCCTGAAAGTCAGTATAGCAGCTACCCAATAAATGTACTATCCCAGTTCTCAGAAGAGCTACATGAAGTCCACATGTAATCAAAAACAAAAATACAGGATATCTAGGAAAAAAACTTACAAGCTCAGTTGCATTTTTTCATCACTATTAACATTGGCCTTAAGTACTTACTAATTTGAATATATTTGTTAAAATTAAACACATGTACACAAAACCCTTTTTCTCAATTAAATTTGAAGGTAAAGCTGATCTGATTATCTCAAGATAGTATCTAAAATTTGGCAAAGAAAATTTCTCAAGTCATGAGATTAGTCTTACAAAATCTTATTTCAGCTTCTTGTATTAGAAGAGAAAAAAGAAAGAAAAAACCTCAAACCCCAAAAAATAGAAGCATCAGATTTCTTGTTTGCTGTAGTAAAAATTCATCATAGCTGAGAAACACCCTCAAAGCCATAAATAAAATAAAAGACTAAGCTTGGATGAATCTCTCAAACAAACCACAGAGTTGCTGAAGTATATTTCTTTTCTGGAGCTTGGGAAACATCCAGCTTCATTCTACTTTTGTAAATTTCAAAG